TCGATACTGGAGCTGTTGATGACAGCACCGGGGTGGAATCGGTTGATGCTGAGGTGTCAGGACTTGCCTAAGCCCACCGAAGCGCAGATCTCATGAGATTTGTTCTGTAGGAGCCTCCTTTCGATGAGATCAAAGTCCAGGATGGCGTCATAAAGTGATGGATCAGGTTGCCTGTCGGATCGAAGAACACATTGGCATTGGTGTTCTGTCTGGACCCTGCCTGGACGACTGTCAGCATTTCCATCGGCCAAGCCGAAGGGAATGCGCGTGATGCTCGTGGAGGTCGACAGATGAGATCGGACATTAGCATGTTTTGGACCTTATTTTTTTGACATTTCTCATCTAGCTGCTAGCTGATGCATCACTGTTGTACTTTGGAGGCATTGGTGACACGAAAGATGTTTGACATCCCATGTTGCAATCCTTTCCCACACGGCCATCCATGAGCTGACCTGTTCACAGTTGGTTGCAAAGATCAACCGCCTTGCACTCGGGCCTGGACTCAATTTTTCCTCGTGGGCTGAGTGACTTTGAGAGGAGTGAACTGTTTGGGACACATGGGAAAATGCTTGCGGATGCAGATGCACTACTTGAAGACTCCGTGCAGACTCAGCAGGTTTGTGCTAGTAGGTTGGAGGCCCTCGCTATTGGATCGGAGGCCTTCGCATCTCGTTTAACTTGCACAAACTCTGCTCAGGTGAGTGACGCGGCCGTGCAGTCTGTGCGCAGACTGCGGATGAAAGAGTGCACTTCGCTCCCATTTGTCCATTGTGTGAACTGGTCGGACCTTCTCGCATAGAAAGCTCAACACATTGTTTCTCAGCTTTTGTTCTTAGACAAGGACCGCTAGAAGCAGGCAGAGCGACAACCCTGTACAGACCAGACAAATCCGGATTTAAATCCATATTTGCTGAGCGTAAGGGATCATGGACTGTGGTGTTTTTGCACGGTTACACGAAAGGAAGGAAGAACACAAAAGAACAAATGGTAAAGAACAAAAAGAACAAAAGACATCAAAGAAGGTCGATTCGATCAGTCTGAAAACCGAGAAACAAGCACGCTTGTCAGGATGTGGAGGAGGTGCTAGACTCCCCCAGACCGAGGCGCCAGAGTTCGTGAAAGCTAGGCCTCAAAAATTAGAGCTCAAACATGACATTATACAGAAGAATCTACTGTAGCATTTTTCTCGAAACAAAACAGTTCTTGAGATGAAACCCAGTCTATGACATGCTGTTTATTTCACTTTCATTGTTCAAGAAACATTGAAAGCAACTCTTAGATCTTAGGTCTTGGCCATACGCGACGTACCTAGAAAGAATGGCCGAACATAAATACCTTAGATTTTGGAAAAAGGGCTAAACAAGGGACTCTCGGTATTCTACCAAGGTATCTCGGTAAACAAGGTTGTAAGCATCTTACAAGGTCGGTAGATACCACCTTTTTTATGTTTTTTTCGAGCATCGTCTAAAACCGACCTTTGAAGATGAAAGAGGCGAAATATGACGTGCCAGGCCTCAAGCTCGGCCGTTAGGTGCCGGTGTAAGAGCAGGAGTGCTCAGAAGCTCACCGAGGGTCACCCAGGAGACCAACAAGCTTTTGATGCAACAATTCCGGTTACTAGTAGCATCCTTGCTCCTAGTAGCGATGCCATGATATGTGTTCTTTTTAGCACATCCTAAAGTGTTGTGCTCACCAATGCTCACCATGTCACTTGTCATTTTGGTTTGACCCTTCGTATTTTCTTCTAGGTTGGAGGCCGTCGCTAGTAGGTTGGAGGCCATTGCTTCTTATTTCCTTCTTCTTTCTTATTTCCTTCCTTTGAACGTGTTTTCTTCACTCATCTGCATGCTGAGGTGGTCTCTGGCCGCGCTGTGGCCGCAAAGCTTCGAGGCACCACGTAGCCCCCTAAACGCTCTGCTGCGGCTTCTAAGCAGTCTTGGACGTTTGTTTGTTCTAGAGAGGAGACACCTTTAGAATTCTTTAGATGTTAGTTTAGTGTGTTTTTGCCTTCGAGCAGAGAGAGAGGTTGATTGCAATTCTTTGTAAGGAGTGCTTGGCTCTTTCCTACGACCATACAAACACAAGTTCACCACTAATGAGTGGCAAGATCTTCCAAGGCCATCTTTGATCTTTTGCTGACCTGCTAGGATTTTTTTTTACATTGATGGCCAACGAGCTGAATTTGGTTAACACAATCATCAACTGATAGTATGACTGAAGGGACTCCCAAAGGAGTCCCAAAGGAGCCCCAAAGGACTCAATGTCTGTGGAAGAATGTTTGTGTCACGATGGCGGTGCTTTGGGTCTGGCTCCAGCTGTGGGCGCAGATCAACGCAGAGTCAGAGCTGAGCGAAAGCTCTCTTCAACAAATTCTTTTGTGCATGCCTAAACGGCCTCAGATCTGGCCTTCATTACTCCTTGTAAACACGATTTCTGACTCCTGCTAACATCCAGCACAGTGGATCCAGCTATGCCAGCGGACTGGCCAGCCGCCATTGCCAGGATCCAAGACAAGATAATTAGGACTTCTCCAAAACACAGACGGAGGGTGTTTCGAAATCAAGAATATCGAGAAAGTTGATGGAGCGATTTGCAACGTCTTCTGAATTTGCGGAATGCTTTGGAATGCGAAATCCAGCTCTTTCTTCTCCTTCCTTTCCGAAGATCACCGGCATCGTGGTTGCTGGAATGCTGACAGCCCTGGTGGCTTGCGCCGTAACGAAGAAGGCCGTTACACCGCCAGCATCTCAGTGAACGTCCCTAAGACTCTGGCAGCTTGTAGAGATCCAATGTGGGCTTTTTACATATGACTCTGGCAGCCCAGTCTATATGCTCAACAAGATGCTACCATAGATTTAGAAGAAGACAGTAGATTGAACATGGAAAACGCACATTACATAAGCCGTAAGGCACGGAACACTGCAGTCGATCTATCAAGTGCAGCCTGCTTTGAATGCTCGTGTCTTTGAGGAAAGAGTCGGAATGAAGGCCATGACGGCCATAGAAACAAGCACGCGAGGTCACGCCCCTCGTCAGAAACATGCCACACGCTCGGAACTGGAACCCACTATTAAGCTATTCCAATTCGCTATTTGACCCACTCAGTTTGTAGATCTTTGTAGGAACGGGTCAACGATGCGAATGGCCGAGAAGTCTTCTGAGTCCTTGCCATATTTCAAGTTACTCCTGTGAGCTTACTAGCTGCTAGCTACCTCCTACACCTTCCACTTTTTACCCCTCTGAAAGATTGAAAGACGATTCCAGGTTTGCAAAGTCACCACATGTTACTGCACGATCTGATTTCGGAAAAAGACACCTCAGAGAGTTCATGGAGTTCGTTCTTCAATTGACAAGAGTACTTTCAATAAATTACTTTCAGATTTTGTTTTTGGACATTACTTTCAAGACCTTTTGCTGTTTCTCTTTACATTTTGTATCAGTTTGCATGCTGTTCAGGCGAACGTGAGTCGACCACCTCCAACCATGGCAGTTTGCTCGGAAAGATGCTGAGCCGTGAGAACCGTGAACTTCGGAGAACCGAGTCCATCGAGTGATGGCTAGGGCCGCACTTGGATCGGGTTTCACGCGCGCGCGAGAAAAGGGAGACGGAGAAAAACACCGCAGCATTTGTCGTTGGTAACTTAGCCTGTGCAGATCTGGGGAGACTTGCTTTATTCTTTTTTTTGCACAATGGTGGGACAACCAGGATGCGCCCCATAAACATCGGCACGCGTTCTTTAAAATGGGCATGACTGGGTCTATGGCTCAAGAGTTGAAACACATTGATGGCCACGACAGATCGAATTGAGCGATACATTTTCGTAAGCATGACATGATACCCTTACCTTACATTGTGCGATGAACGCACTTTTATACCACCTGGAAGACACATGTCGAAGACACCATCCCAGCACATGTGACTTCCCCCACTTGGAGTCAAACCACTTCCCAGCCATGGCGATCGCAGCACTGCTCTTGAGCCTCTGGGCAGGTGCTGCAGCAATATGTGAAGAGCCGAACGTGAGGCACCGCCACCGCCGGCACGTTTTCAGTCTTCAAGCAAAACCGGACCAGAACATCTTCCCGTCCAAAGGACCAAAGGTCGAAACCAATTTCTGGGACCTTTGCGACCTCGACCTCGACGGCAGACTTAACTCCTTAGTGCATTCATTGTCACTAGCAGGTTGGAGGCCATTTTCTCTTAGGGAGTAACAAGTGCCACGCTAGTAGTAACAAGTGCCTTACTAGTAGTAACAAGAAGCTATTAGAAACAGGTGCCACGCTAGTAGTAACAAAAAGCCGTCCTCGTCAGACTTCACTTCTCACACCGAGCCACGGTGTCCCACGGTGTCTCACGGTCTCTCACTACCCAACTTCACGCAGTGGAGCATAGGTACCAGGGGGTGCAGCTCTCGACGGAACGCCATGACCCTAAGTTGAAAGCAACAGATTGCAATCTTGGTGTTGGAAGTTGCATTTTCTGTTTTGCTTTTCAATGGCTTCAGGTGGCTTGGAAGATGTCTCCGCCTGTCGAGCTTCTTGCGCCGGGGTTCCCAGAGTGTCGTTCAAGATTCAAGCATAAAGCTACATCTCTTCGCTCTAGCAGCTTCTTGTTACTAGTAGCGATGGCCTCCAACCTAATAGCAATGGCCTCCACCTAGTAGCGTCCTTGTTACTAATATATTGCCAAAGTTTTTGCTAGCCATTTTTCCGGCGGTGGAAGTGATATGATATAGATGCCTGTGTTGCTTCGCAGGTCAATACCTTGGGCTGCCAACATTTCAGCTTTACAGAGAAAAAGGTCATTTCGATGGAGGAGTTGATGAGACGAAAGGCAGAGGCAGAAAGAAAAGCAGAGGAAGAGAGGGAGAAAGAAGAGGAGAAGAGGAGGGAAGAAGAAGCAAGGAGGAAGGCAGAGGAGCAGGCAGAGAAGGAGAAGGAAATGGCAAAAGAAGCAAAAGAAGCGGCAGCAGAGCAGGCAGCGAAGGAGAAGAAAATGGCAGAAGAAGCAAAAGAAGCAGCAGCGGAGCTGCAGGCTAAGCAAGAGGCGAAGAAAGAGGAATTGGAGGAACAGGCGAAGGAAAAAGCAGAGCAAGAAGCCCAAGAAAAGGAATTGGCAGAAGCGACAGAAGTGACACAAGAGCAGCAGATTGAGCAAGAAGCAACCGAAGAGGAAATCTTGGCAAAAGCAAAAGAGAAAGCCCGCGAAGATGACCTGAAGCGTACTGCAGAAGCAAATTCAGAAGATTTGGAAGTGGAATCACCAGAAGAGTCGACTGAAGAACTGACAGAGGAACCAGATGCACTGGAGGCAGAGCAACCGGAGACGGAGAATATCCAAGCGAAGGTGGCAGCGCAGCAAGAGAAATTGAAAGCGCAGCTGTTGAAGATGTTGGGCACACCCACGGAGGAGCAGATTCAGTCATCCTTGGCTCCTGTCAGACATGCCCTCCTCCTTTAGGATTTTGGTTTAATGTATCATCTCATGTGTGCATTGAAATTACGAACACTAGGATGAACCCATTTTTCTCAAAATTGATTTGTTTCTTGCACGGGGTCTCATGACAGCTTCTCCTAAGAGCTTTCTTGAAGAAGTCTATGCAACTCTATTGTGTCCTTGGGACGAGTTAGTTAGCCTTTATCTTTACTTAGCTTGCCTAAACTTACCCTCAATTCCTCCTTTAGTCGCTGGGTTTGAACAAGGGTGCTTACATCTGTCGGCGGCCAATTTGATGCTATGTCCGGCACAGTCATGCCTCTTGAGATCTTCGAAGTGCATTTCGACTGCGCCGACTCGTACAAACTGGTGGGCCCGAGCGGGTGCTTTCCTCGACTGCGCTTGTTGTGGTGCCGTGCACATTGCTTGGTGGTCACTTTTCGCATCCTCGTTTTTTGTTAGTTTGAAGCCAACTTTTTGTGACAGGTGCAGGGGATCGGAGCCGTTTCGCTTCAAAGTATAGATTTCCAGCCAGGCACGCCTTGGAGTTGGTGGTGGGTCTTGAACTTTGGGCCTGCGGCCGCCTTGTAGATTTGGGGAGGAGTGTCGTGCGAAAGCTAACTCGAACTTGTCTGTGTGAGGGCTGCGCAGTGTGAATCTTGATGTGCAGATTTCGTGGCGGGGGCAGTGCTCTGAGTTTCTTGTGGCAAGCAGACCACTTTGTGAACCTGAGCGCGGTAATGCATATGTTTTCATGTATGTGTTTTTTCATACATTTGCTCGCGTGTGTGAGCTCTCATGCCTCTGTGGGCTCTTGTGTTTGCTCACGCAGGTGTGCTCTCGAGTGTTGGAATTAGATGGAATTAGTCTATTAACCCTTCTCTGGTTGGTGTTTCTGACAGGGATTTTTTGTTAAGCACCTTGTTAAGTAATGGTTAGCATCGTATATGTAGCCCAGTGGCCCAGTGCCTGCGAGGATCGCCAATTGGTCTGGGCCCAAGATTACTTGCGTTTATATCAGAGGTCTTTGCTCAACAAGACCAAACATCATTGCATTAGGCATGTTTGTGGAATTACCTTTTGAATTCAAGAGAGTGAGGACCTGAAGGGAACTGCAGAAGCAAGTGGAGAAGATTTAGAAGTGGAATCACCAGAAGAGTCCACTAAAGAATTGACGCAGGAACCAGAAACACGGGAAGCAAAGAAGGAGAAGATCCAAGCGAAGGTGGCAGCGCAGCAAGAGAAATTGAAAGCGCAGCTGTTGAAGATGTTGGGCACACCCACGGAGGAGCAGATTCAGTCATCCTTGGCTCCTGTCAGACATGCCTCCCTCCTCCTTTAGGATTTTGGTTTAATGTATCATCTCATGTGTGCATTGAAATTACGAACACTAGGATGAACCCATGTTTCTCAAAATTGATTTGTTTCTTGCACGGGATCTCATGACAGCTTCTCCTAAGAGCTTTCTTGAAGAAGTCTATGTAACTCTATTGTGTCCTTGGGACGAGTTAGCCTTTATCTTTGCGTAGCTTGCCTAAACTTACCCTCAATTCCTCCTTTAGTGGCCTACTTACCCTAGCTCCCCCAAGAATACAAACAAAAATACAACATCTTTTGTTAAGACCTTGTTTGAGTTTAGCAACATACATGCGCGAGGAGCGCCGCTTGGTTTGGGCCCAAGCAGTTTCTTTCAACGAAGCCAAGCATCATTGCGTTTGGCACGATTGTGGAGTGGTTGTGTATGCTCAGGATGGAAACCCTATCCGGAAGCTGCAGGACCAAACCATTGCACGGAACCTCTGAACTGAAAGGAACAGCCGAAGACTTTGAGCATACAAGGGTTTGAAGGCCATTGCTAGGTTGGAGACCATTGCTACTAGGTTGGAGGCCATCGCTATTAGAACCAGGGTGGAGGCCGTCAAGTCATCTCATTGATGCCAAGCGTTTGAACAGCTCAAAGTCCAGTTTAATCCGCAGCACTTCACCTCCCAAAGGCACCAAGCGTTTGCGTCTTATTTGACTCCACCAGCCAGAAGGACAGCAGGGAAACACGAGGAACAAAATGGCCTCGCTACTCGGACGTTCAGAACATCCGAATCTCGTGAGGAGCCGGCTGACTCTGAGAAGCGAATCACCTCAGGTGGGGCGCTACGAACGGAGCGATCGGACGCTACGTTCGGGGCTCCTGGCCTTACTACTAGGAGCAATGTTCGCTACTAGGAACAAAGGGCATCGCTACTAGGAGCAAGGACGCTACGTTGCAAAGCGCCGTGCTGGTGGTCTTCGTCACGCTTGACCCCAAAGGAAAGCGACGTGAAGGTTGAGGGAATCTCATTACAATGTCCCCATGGTGCAAAACAACCAAAACTCAGTAAAGGCCAATGGCAAAGTTCCTTTCCTCTCAGAAGTTGGTGTTACGGTCGGTGAATTTATTCGGTGTTCCACTTTGGCGCTTTGGGAGGCTCAGTGAGCTGTCCTGCCAGTGAGCAGCGCCCACCCTTGGGACATGTGGAGCTGGGGCAAATTTTCAAAGAGGCAACCTTGATGGGAGCGCGAAGCACGAAGTGTGAAGTGTGAGACTGTGAGCAGTGGGGTTGCTTGAAAGGTCTGCACTTTAGAGATGACTACGGGCCAAAGACGGGAAGGATGTGTCAGTTGAGCTTTGTCAAATTTGTCAAAGTGCCAGCACAGAATCGATATAGATTCTGTAGATCACATCAAAACTGTCAAGGTGAACTTGACCTGATCAGGGATGATTCAGTGAGGTACTCTGTGAGGTCTCGGCTCGAAGTTTTAGAATCCTCGAAGCCATGATGCCGTTGGGCTATGTGGGGAACACTGAGAATCAGCTCCCCATACTCCTGGGCCGCAAAGATGCGATCGCTGAGAAAGAGCCTGACCGAACCTTTACGAGAACCACCACGACTAATGTCTCAGAGCCGGAGAGGGTTGTGAAACGTTATTTTCAGAGCAGGGCGTTAGCCGCAGGGCGTTTCATGCAGCACTTTTCAAGACATGTTCGAAAGAGAACAAATCTGGCATTGTTTGGCATGATGAACAAAATTCTTCCATGCACGTTGCGTCGAAGTGTCAAGTCAACAAGAGACTTAACAGACTTGCACAGTGAACACTCCAACCTACTAGCGATGGCCTGCAACCTAAAAGTGATGGCCTCCACCCTAGTAGCGATGGATTTGCAGGAGCTGGATGACAAGTCGAATTTGTTTTCTGCATGTGCCGCCGGAGATCCAGTGAACACTGAGCGGCTCTTGAAATCCATTGATATCAACAGCAAAGACTATGGAGGCCGAACGCCTTTGCACCTGGCCTGTGGATGTCGCTCTGCAGGTGGGGTTGCAAAGGTCTTCAAACATATATATATATATACGGTATATATACCATATGTTCAAATTACGACA